GCATCTGGTGGATTTGAACCGTGCGCCTCTGGGATTGCAGTGCAGCTTCTTGCCACTAGGCCACCAGAGCTCCCCCAGAAACACATTTTTTTTCCCCAATTGTTTATGACTGCCATATGAAATTGAGCATCAGTCGTATGTTTGGAAGTGAAAATTATCACATTTTGTCAGTTTTTCCATGAAAACTCTCGACAGCACAAAAAAACAACTGATAGGTTATCTGGAATGTTACATCTTTTTTTCAATGTATTACTGAATAATTAAAACAAATAAATGCATTACTATACTTTGTACAAATGATGTTCCTTTTTTTTTTTTTAATTAAAATGTGCAGGATGGCTACAGCCGTCATTTACGGCGACGTGTTAAAGACCTGGTTCCATCATGTTATCACTTCTTCAGTCGACCGTGTATGTAAGCAATCTCCCATCTAAGTGGCTGTGCCTCCTTTACCTGGATCCCTGCTCTCTCCAAGTGGGCTCCATAGCTACGAGATCTCCTGTACAATCGCTTCTTTGGTGTCCACATTTACTCAGGTTCCTACAGCCCCTTATGTGACGACCAAGGTGCTCATGGGTGTTCTGCCTACCTACTGTGTTTAGGACTCAGTAGGACAAACAAACTTCAAACTCAAATGCTATCGAGTTAGAACGGACTTACAGCTGACTCTCTCCATTGGGTTTCTGAGGTTGTCAATTACAAGGGAGATTACCCATCCTTCAGCTGCTGAGGTGCTCACTGGTGGTGGATTTGAACTGCCAGAGGCAAGGCCTTTGTGCTAGCAGCACAACCTGCAATAGGGAAAAAGGAAAAGATGACGACTAATATGTGCACTTTTTAGTTAATATATGATCTAAATGTCTTTTAAAACAATAAGCTTTTTATTAATCTTTTACTTCATCAGTTAAGTTTCAGAATTTAAATAACTTGTTGGGTTTTTTGTTTGTATGGGGTTAGTTTTGGGCTTTTTAAAGACAGGAATGTTTATTAAGACAGAAGAAAGTTTATAGAGGAGAATTTATTAATAAAGAGAAATACTCTTAGAGAGTGGGCCCATCTCAGGAGTAGAAAGACCTGGAATCACCTGTTTTTAAAACAGGTGAAGACTTTTAAAAAATCAAACCGCTCTCAAATAAGTTTGTACCAATTTACCATAACATTAGCACTGGATGAGCACCTGCATTCTCATCAGTAGTGTGTGCATTATCAATTATTATTGTTGCTACAAGCAAAGAGCCGGGCTTGGTGACCTAGAGGCAAGAAGCTGCGCTGCAATCTTGAAGACACACGGTTCAAAGCTGCTCTACAGGAGAAAGATGGTCAGTCTCCTTCTGTGCAATGAACTGCCTCTGAAAACCCATCAGAGAGTCAGCTATGGGTCGATTCTGACTCTATTGTACACAACACCACCACACAAAGAATCAACAAGTTTTCCACCCCACACTCTTGCACTTTTCTGCACAAGAGAAAAAGTGCTTCTACTTATTAATTTCTTTTTATTTCATTATTCCACAAAGGAGGCCGTACTTTTCTCGGTCTGGGCCGGCACCTGAACAGGAAGACCTCACTCACCTCGCTGCTTGCGGCATGAACCTGAACCCAACACCTCTTCGAATCCCATAGGTCCATCAACCTGTCCGCCTCGGGGCAGCAGAGGGTGCTGTGGAGCTCCCGCGAGACTCCGCCCTCGGAGCGACACGCCCCACTCCGTGACGTATTTCCGCGTCATCTGCCGCCAATCCTTACTCCCATTGGCTGTGGGAGAGACCTAGGGCGGGGCGTAGTGGGGGCGTGGACAAGTGCAGCTGGCCGGGGGAGGCGGGGCGAGGATCTCCTTTGCTCGCTCCTCCCTAGTCCCACCCCCACCTTCTAGTCCCTCCCTGGGACGTCTGCGCGGCTTATCTGCTAACGCGGCGGCGGCAGTGACTGTGGTGGCGGCTACTCTGTCCCGAGCTGTAGCTCGTGCAGGGCTCTCGTGCGCTCTTGGAGGAGCTGCTCCAGCTTCAAGGACCGGTTGAAGGAGGGAGAGAGGGAGGGAATCCGGGGCTGCTGAGCCGCGTGCCCGCAGCCGCTCCGCGCCGGCGGGAAAGCCCTTCGGCTTCCGAAGCACGGAGCAAGCCCGGGGCGGGTGGGGCGGAGGTCCGCGGAGATCTGCGCCAGCCCCTGGGCGCTGCTGGGGCCCCGCTGGCGCGCCTTCTGAAGGCAGCCTCTGCACCGTGATTGCGGGCGCAGGGCAGCACAGAGGGAGGAAGCGAAAGGGGTCGCTCTTCCTTCCCACCCCCCGAGTTGGAAGCTCCTTCCCTAGTTCAACATGCCCAAGAAGAAGCCGACGCCCATCCAGCTGAACCCGGCCCCCGACGGCTCGGCGGTTAACGGGACCAGCTCGGCGGAGTAAGTATGGGGTGGGCGGCGGGTTCAGGGTCCGGGGCCTGGGAGGCCCCCGAGGGGTGCGGGGCGTGGGCCGGTGTGCGCAACGTGCCGGCTCTGGATTGAGTTGGTCACGTACATCTCGGGGTGGCGGGGGGCGAGGAACTCTGACCACCGAGGTGTCTGTGGGTGACTAAGCACTGATTATGCTCCTGACTCAGACCAGTCTGGAGACCCTAGCAACCTTGATTTCTCCCCCTTTTCTGTTGCCCCTGGCTGTTGACCCTTCCTTTCCCCCCTCAAGAAAATCAAAGCTGGTTCATTCTCCCACTCCGCGGCAGTTTTCTAAACGGGATCCTGGCCTGTAATGGGAGAATGAATCTCTTGGAAAAAAATTGGGATCTCCCTTGCACCTTTGAGAATAGCGCAGGGAGTTGGGACCCGCGAGCATCCCCTTCATGACTGACACCTGTGGGCCTGGAGTGGCTTTGCGGGCTAGGACGCCTGGACCTCTCCGCGGCATTTGCCTTTCCGACTTTAGAGGCTCCTGGGTTTTGGCATTCTTTCTGGGGGCTATTCATTCGTTTAGTCAACAGATGGTCTCTTCTTCATCAGTAACCCCAGGCTTTTTTTATTTGATTAAGAGCTCTAAGCTCCTGACCTGGGCCTCAAACACCTTAACTACACACATCACACACAAGATGCTTCATCTGTACAGCTTCTAGTATTGTTCACAAACCAGCACTTTTATTCACCAGATAAGGCGGAGGTGGATTGTTTTGTTTTTTCCCTTGGGGATTTTTGAGTTCCCGTAGTCTTTCATAATCTATCTTGGTCCAGGATAAGAGACAAGACCTTTGAGGGAGAGAAACCTGCTAGCAGGAGAAATAACCTAAACAGTTAAGATTCTTAATCTTTTACCTGAAAACTGTAGACTTTAAGGTGCTACCAGACACAGTGACTAGAGTAGGTTTGGACCTTCTGCCTTTTGATTTTTACAGGCTGCCTTCCTCGCCCTAGATGTTAATAACCCGAGGACATAGCAGCTTCATGATTCTACTCATCCCTGTAACAGTCACAGGACTGTGGTATGCACTCAACCCAGGTTCCTCAGACTTACTGTTTTTTTTGGCCCTCTAAGACCCCAGAACGGTAGTGTCTGTTTTACATGAGTGCCTTGTACAGGTTACTGGATTGCCTTGCAAACATGAATTCCATTTTAGCCTGCAGTATTTTGTACTCATTAACCTTCACGGTCACCAGGACAAGTTTGACCAGAGTGTATTCTGACTGAACAGAGTTGCCGAATTAGTGTGCTCCTATCTGACTTGGAGATGGAAACAAAGTGGAAAGACCTGTTGTCATTCTGATACTACAGCTGAAGTCCTGTAGAGGAGAGGAATGGCGTTAAAAGCAGCAGTATCAGGAGGAGGAGAAGAAACTATCTTGGAATTAGTGGCGGAAAAATTGTGCCCAAAGCGCTTCTGGCATATTCTCTAGGGAGTTGCACTGCTCACTCAAAGGTTTTGTCTCGCTGGAGGAATCCATCCACCTGCAGCTCCACAGGAGACGATGGTTAGCAGCTTCTCATTATGATTTCCAGCGTCTAAAACCCAGTGGAGGGCCGCTGTGCGTCACACTGACAGCAGTGAGTTTGAGGGGAAGCCACGAACAGTGTTTTAAGAGGTTATTCTCTGGATTCCGCTTAAGTTTGAAGTCTTCCTTTGCTCCTTGTGCTTTTGTGACCAAGGACAAGACTCTTAAGCTCCTGTAAAGCTTAGATTCTTTTGTCAAATGCAGGTCATAATACAGTTTGCTTAGGGTAGTTGTGAAGACTGAATGAGGGAATGTGTGTAAAACAGTTACTATATAGTAAACCTTCCATACATATTAGCTGCTGGTGCCTTTGTTACTAGGTGCCTATATTGAGAGGGCTAAAGGAAAGTGAAAGGTAATTTCCGTTCGTGGGGGTACTTGTTAAGGTGCCTTTGCACCTGGACAGACAACTCTCTCCTGGCTTCGTGTTCCATGCCATCTGCATCTACCTCCATGACTCACTGTGGTACAATAGGAGGCATCTTTGTGTGGGCTGCATGAGACAAACAGGGACTGTTCCTGGCACTAATGAGGTGGGGGGAGTTGTACACACATCTTCATCTTTCACCCTTTAGAGATTTTCTCAAGCAAAGCTTCCCCTATCTTGGGCTGCCAGCAGAAAGAACTCTTTTGTTCTCCTGATTTCTCTTGCTTTAGACCAGGACACAGTTTTGCACATTATCATACAATGGGAGCTGGAGAAGAAGAAAAAAAAAATTAAGTCCACTGAGAATAAAAGAGTTCATGGGACTAAATTGGCTAGGTTGCTTCTCCCCTCTGGCTCCCTAACACCTTGGGAATCGCCTCTACTGTTCCTTTCCTCAGCTCAGGAACAGAGCTGGGTTATATAGGACTTGAAGTTTCTGCTAGTTCTTCTAGGAAAAAGAATGTGAAAATACGTTTCCTTACCAAGATTTGCAAAATCATGTGAGCATTATTACTGGTGTCCTAAATGTTAGAATGAAATAAATGGAAAATAAGATCACATTGTTCTCGTTTGATTTTTTTTTTGTGGTTCCATTGCAGTTAGAACAAAATATGAGGGTGGTTGGTGCAAATAGTTAATTCAACTTGGCTGCTAACCAAAAGGTTATTAGGTTGAATCTACCCAGAGGTGCCTCAGAAGAGATCCTTGGCAGTCTCCTTCTAAAGACTCAGCGAAGCGCTGTGGAGCACAGTACCACTCTGATCCCTGAGAGCCAGTTGGTTGACTCCATGGCAACTCATACACTGGACAGTGAGACTGAGTGATCGCCCACTGTGTCCCCGCCTCCACCCTACCTCTTCACCCACATTTCCTGTCACTTCTTCCGCAGCTGGCCCTCTTTCAGTTCCTCCCTGGGATGAGGTATACTCCCTCCAGGCCCTTGCACACAACTGTTCCCTTTCCCTGGAATGAATCATTCTCCCCTCTTAACTAGGGGTTAATAGTCATCACCCCCTTGCTTAAATGCACAGACTGCCTGGTTTAAAGTAGATCCCGATTTTTTCCATATCGTCTGATTTTTTTTTTGTAATTTTTTTTTCATTAATTTCAATGAATGATTTTTTTTAATGACACTTATCATTGTCAATTATTTTCTACAGTTTTGTTAGGTGCCGTCGAGTTGAGCATGACTCATAGTGATGTTATGAACAAAAGATCCGAACCCTGTTCTATCCTGCACCATCCTCACGCTTCCTGACACATTGAGTTAGTCACTGTGTCAGTTTTCCTGGTTGAGGATCTTCCTCTCTGCTGACCCTCCACCCTTCCTAAATTCCTTAACTCTTGATAACTGATACATTATAAGTATGGAGATGTTTGTTGAATGGATAAATGAGTGAATAGGATTTCTAAAATTTTTATAGTATCTTTAATAAACCCTTGTTACTTTATTTTCCCCTTCTTTCTCCACACCCTTCCCCATGTCTTTTCCTTTCATAGGCACCTTCTCACTCACTCACTCACTCACTCACTCTCACTGCTGATGAGTTGATTCCAACTTGTCGTGACTAAAGAACAGACTTGAGTTGCCCAGATTGCTGAGACTGTGTATTTTACCGAGAACAGACTCATTGTTCTTCCTTGGAGTGGATGGTAGGTTTGAGCCACAGAACTTTTGAACCACAGCCTGCCACTTAACCCACTACACTACCAAGCCTCTACTAACCACTCTATTGAATTTAATAATAATGAACTATAAATGCCTTGTAATCCAGCTCATTTGTGTATATGCATACACACAGCGGATAATGTTTTGTCTGTTTTCTGTGTGTAGGATTCTAAATTGGTATTCTGCTGTAAATCGGCATCAGCCACAATGGATTAGCTTATACTGACATACAACCTGCAAAACTCACCAGTTTAATACTCTGAGGACATCAGGGGTGCTCTGCTGTTTGGGAGTTGATGGGGGCACTGTCACTTTCCTGGGAAGGGAATCTTATGACCCTTTCTGGTTCTCAAGCTTGACCTGGAAGTGATACATGCCACTTTTGATCACATGTATTTGGTCAAAGGAAAAAAAATCACATGGGAATACTGACCTTCAGAGGTGGGTAGAGAAGTAAGTAAGGTCTTACTGTTTTCTTGAAAGGAGGGAAGCCAAGTATATGTGAACGTGTAGTATTGACCCCACACAAAATCTTATGTAAATTGCTTCCCTTTTTTAAAAAAACCAAACACTGATGCTAGATAGGTATCATTTCTCTTAGCTGCACTAGTAGGCACACACCACAGTTCACTTATTCATGCGCCTAGAATTAGATCACTGTTTGCAACACTTTGATGCTTCAAATGGTGCTGCTGTGTTAAATTTTGTACACATCTTTTACACCCTTGTGAATTCCCTGTGGAATGTGCTCAGAAGTGGGATTTCAGGATCAAAAAGCACCCTATTTAGCTTTCAAGATGAGACACATGGTAATAATCTCTCTCTTTGTTGCCATTCTTGAGAAAATACACAACAGATCCACCAATTGAATAAGTTTTGCTTGTACAGTTCATTTACATTGGTTATCTTCTTCAACTTGGTTTCTTTCTTTCCTTTTCCAGACTGTTCCACCCCTGTTAGCTGCCCCCTAAAGCCCTTATTTTAAAAGTTGGTGTTGTCAACTTGATCCGATATAGTTCTTATAAGAGCACAGTGCTTGAGATAAAGCATTCTTTAGTAATTAATGATTAAACCAAACTGACATTTAATTTAGGGGATTTTTTTTTTTGGTTTAAAGATTATCTCAGGGTAATATTTTTTGGGGTTTATCCAGCCTTGAAGGCTCAGAATTTCTTTGTTTTTTTAAAGGACACTTTTAATCTCCATCAGGACACACCTGAGCCAAGTAGAATCACAGTGTAGAGACCCCAAAACCTTCTAAAACTTCATCCTCAATGAGATGAATTGATTCAGTGACTGGGGTAATGGGTTAGGTGTGTCAGAGACAGTGCA